TAATAGTAATAATAATATAATAGCCTTTGTATAGCGCATATCCCCGCTCGACAGCAAGCTCTATGCTATTTACACAGTATTATTAGACCAGCAGACCAAAGAAAGCTCAGAAACATTCTCAGCTTCCCGGGACGCATACGGTCCAAGCCGCTGATTAAGTGCTCAAACCCAAACAAACTGACAAAATCTTTCTCTGTCGATAGTTAGGTACCCATTCCTACCTAGGTGAGGTTAGGAAAATTCGTGTTAAGTGCCTTTCCAAAGGACACAACGTTGGGCCACTGACGGCATGCGAACCAACGACCTCACGGTTGCGAGTCTGAGAGCTTAACCACTCGGCCACCGACGCCACTCACCGATTTACCAGTCACTGCCTCCAGAACTGGCAATACAGAGCTTTTGATAATATGAAAAACTAAACAGCAGTCTTCTCTATAGATCAGTTACAGTCCGCCTAACGTATCCCAATATTTAGGTTCAGTAATTTTCTGATTTTGATGAGTTAGTTAAAGGTAACCTTTTAAACCTCCAATACGTAAGATGTGACAATAAAAAAAAAGAGAAAAAAAGTAGTAAATTATATTCAGCCACTCACTCTGCATAGCTGTCACAATTAACATAAACAATACGCGGGGCGAATGCGCAGTGATAACGATCGAAAAATAATAACTTGATTGGGCGACATTTGACCTATCAGTCTCAAAATTCAGATGAAATAAAACTGACGTAACGCGATTTAGAATGTTTAAAACTCAAGAAAGTTTCTTGGAAAGTGCATTTTATTGACGAGACAAAGAAAAGTATATTATGAGAAAGTTATGATTGTGCACTATAACGCACATACTTTCAGGGGAAAAAAACCGATACATTGGTTATGTTTTATAGCAGAAAACTAAAGAAGACGGAATGATTTTTTCCAGTGCATCAGGATATCAAGTAACCAATAAAATAAATGCTATGCCTGACCTCATTGTCAACGTTGTTTTTATCCAGGTAATAAATGACGACAGCACTCTTATATTTTCTGCGAGGATCTATCATGACGTGGTCTTGTAGATTAGCCATTAGCCTAAGAGTGTTGAAGATGATTATGAAAAAGGGTTGAGTGATGGCTATTGTCAAAACTGATCTAGGCTCTGCTTGATGAACTGGTTGACACGAGGTGGGCGTCACTGTTCTATTTCTCCCTTTCTCCCTCCCACCTCTCTCTCTCTCTCTCTCTCTCTCTCTCTCTCTCTCTCTCTCTCTCTCTTTCACTCTCTCTCTCTTTTACACACAC